GCGGATGACATAGTTTTGATTGATGAGGGTAGAGATGGTGTAAAGTAAGAGTTAAAACTTTGGACGGATGCTTTAGAATCTAAAGGTTTTAAAATTAGCTAGATTAAGACACTATATGGAATACAAGTCTTCTAATAATGGGAGCAAAAAAGGGAAATTAGTAAAGATTGATTGTCAAGAAGGACCTAAAAGAGATTATTTTTTGGAAAAAGTTTATATAGAGCCGAGGCTCTAAACAATCAAAATTGAGCCTACCTAAAAACTTTTCACTAGAAGATGGTGTTTTGATGCCCAAATATCTTCAAATTGATCATCCTGACATCACCATGCATGGACATGAGAAAAAAAATGGATTTCAAGATTTAGAAATAGTGTAGTTTTTAATGCATTTTTTTATCATTAATTTTCAAGATTTTCAAGTTTTCATAGATATGTCAATCTACAATATTTTTTAAGCTTTAAACTTTATAAATAAATATGAAAATATAGTTTAAGGGTATCACAAAAATTTCTAGTATTTAAACCACATTTCTCGACACAATTTGAAGGTAGGCTCTTGATTGTTTTGAGACTAGGCTCTATATAAACCGCACCCTTATTTTTAATATCTTAAATCGATAATCCATGATAAAAGAGAGATTGAGGCAGATGTTGTCCATAAAATTAGAGCTCAGTGGACGAAGTAAAGATGTGCTTCTAGAGTCTTATGTGATCGTTGTATATTAATAAAATTGAGAGGGAAGTTTTATAAGATAGTTATAAGACAAGCAATGCTTTATGAGGGGGAATATTGGGTTGTCAAGAAATAATATTGAGTGTAGCTAAGATGAAGATGTTGAGATGGATAAGTGGTATGATAATGAATGATAGAATTCGAAATGAATACATACAAGGGATCATGGAGATAGCTCTAATAGGCGATAAAATGAGGAAAGTAGACTTAAGCGGTCTGGTCATATACAATATCGACCTAGGTAAACCTAGGTAGGAGGGATCATTTAGTTCAACTGGAAGGCTCTAAAAGAACAAAGGGAATGCCCCAAATGACATAGATGGAAGTAGTGAGAAAAGCTATGGTGACTTATGATTTGAC